TCCAGTCTATCGTCGATGGGCATTTGGGTTGGTTCCAGGTCTTTGCTATTGTAAACAGTGCTGCAATGAACATACTTTGTATTTATGATTGTCATTTTTGCAGGGCATTATCACAAGAAACGGTAGAGATGGTGAGAGGAATTAAATAAAGAGGATCAATCAAATAGAAGAAACATGATGAAAAATTGGAGTGTCTGTTTCCTATGTCTAAAAGACACATTTTTCCCAAGTCATATTCATCATGGCATGGGTACCAGCAGTTATGGGTTCATATGCCAGCCATGCCCCTTACTACCAACGGGAATAACAATGCCAGAAATATTGTAAAGATTAAGTGTAGCATTATTGTATGACAATACCTAGCACAGTGACTAGCACATAATACATTAACATTTGTTTTCTTTCTTTATACTAATATTCCAGATCAAAAATAAATGAATAAATGGAACTTAAGGTAATACAGATTTACTCTGGGCATACATATAAACTCTCACAGAGCATCCCTTCATCCTAATGCTGTCAGAAACATTTTTGTCATGCACTCCATTGGAGTACTGTAATAAACTTCCTATTTATTTAAATGATTCTTGGGCAAATATAGATCGTTCTGAAAGGGGAAGAGGAATAGGATATAATAATTAGCTCTGTCATGGAGTAGGGCAGAGAAAAATATAACTAAGTTTGCCTTAGACTTTCTAGATACTTGGATATTCCAGTTTTCCAGAATCAGGACAAAAGGAAACAAGTGGAGAAATTGTAAGCTTCACACTCAAATGTTTACCATTCCTCTACCTTTTTTCATGATAAATTCAAGAAGCATTTTAGACTCAGGGAAAGATACAATGGTTTGATATGATAACAGAGCCTAATCCAGTAGAAAAAGGCCCAACTACATGGCATTAAACTTAAATCCAAGTCTCACTTCATTCCTGCCTCAAGCAACGACTCACTTTCCCTCTCTCCTCCAATAAACAAATTGAAGATTTGTCAGAATTCTTCCTAACTGCCTAACAAGGTTATGGTAAGAACAAATACATAAAACATTGTTTTATAAACTGTATTCAAATGTAGGTTATAATTACGATTGAATAGATCAGCCATGTTTGGAATGGTATATGTTTTCATGCTATGAAATAGTATTAATTTTGGTTTACTACATAGTTTACTGTAACATATTGTATTGAATTTTTTTGTTGTTGTTCAAGGAATAATAGTTTTTTATTAAAGACTGTTTGGGCTGGGTGCCGTGGCTCACGCCTATAATCCTAGTACTTTAGGAGGCCAAGGCAGGCAGATCACCTGAGGTCGGGAGTTTGGGACCAACCTGACCAACATGGTGAAAACCCATCTCTACTAAAAATACAAAACATTACCCAGGTGTGGTGGTGCATGCCTATAATCCCAGCTACTCTGTAGGCTGTGGCAGGAGAATTGCTTGAACCTGGGAGGCAGAGGTTATGGTGAGCCGAGATTGTGCCATTGCCCTCCAGCCTGGGCCACAAGAGCAAAATTCCGTCTCAAAAAAAAAAAAAAAAAAGACTGCTTTGATATAGCTAAGATTTGTATTACAAATCATTTCCCCATGCTACCCCCAAAATAGAAAGGATAAAATGAGTAAGAATGATTTTATCTTATTTAATATTCCCAACACACAAGGTAATTTCTTGGCAAGGGTAACTATAAATCCTAATGCCAAGGATAGCAGGTAATATTGGTAAACGGTCAGGCTTCAGTACCCATGGGTTCTGTATCTATGGGTTCTACCAACCACAGATTGAAAATATTCGGGGAAAAAAAGTTAGTGTGCCTGAACTAAACATGTATAGACTTTTTCTTGTCATCATTCAATAAGCAATATAGTATACCAACATTTAAATAGCATTTACCTTTCATTAGGTAAAATAAGTAATCTAGAGATAATTTAAAGTATACAGTAGCATGTGATACATTATATGGCAATACTATGCCATGTTATATAAAGGACTTGAGGCTTCATGGATTTTGTTACCCAATGAGTTCCTGGATCAAATCCCACATGGATACAAAGAGATGACTGTATTATATAAGCAGAATTTACAGACATACCGGAAAAAGATAGTGCTCAATTTTCATATTACGTTTTTCATTGACTGAGTCTTCCCTTGATCTCTTCTTCTTATAGGTCATGATGGCTGGAAGATGAATGGATAGTTCAGCTGAAACATTAATTTCAAATTTTCAAATTATAGTAGTATCTTCAAAGCTGTCATTAATTGTACAGAGGAAAAGATAAGCTGATGTCCTATGTCCCACCTTTCCCCTTGAGCTCCAGCCTTGCTCTCCCTGGAGATGTTACCTTAGCAAATAGATAGTTTATTCACCAACTATAATCACCCCAACAATAAAAGCTCTCTTTTCCAGAACACTGCATGTCAGGCACTTTATGAAAATGACACTAAACACTTTATGAAATTTATCTCTAGTTGTAAATTCTTATAGATACCAGGCAAATTAGGTATATCTACACTTTGCTGATGGGGAAAGTATAGCTTAGAGGTGGATGAGCTGCCCAAGGCCAGAGCTATATGGCAGAGATGGAATTCAAATGCAGGTGTAAATACCTTACAGAATAATTTTCAGTTGGAAATTTCAAAAAGGTGTTCTAGTTACATTGATGTTAAAATCTGGTCTCCGTTTAAGATGAAGATGGCCAGGGAAGCTAAAATTACAGGGAAGTGGTGAGGAAAGAGCTGATGAAAGAAATTTGGAATGAGATTTTAAAAAGAAATCTGGAAAGTTTGCCCAGGATGATATTCAGAAACGTTAGTTACTGCTTTAGATATTTTTGTTTAAAGAGGTATTTTCCTTCTATCTTTCCTCTGATGTCTCCCTAAAAAAGAGATAAACAAACTTTAAATAAAATAGTGACATCTTCAATAGTAATAAATACCACTGGAAAGATAAATACCATTGACAACAGCAGCCATGTCTGTCCTTAGTACCTCAATGTCTACAACAATGGCTGGCACATGTTAGGCTCTTGAAAAAGATAACTTTCTAAAGATACATTCAATAACCAAACGGAGTAGGCATATGGTGCACTTCACCCTGTTCTAAGTGCTTTTCATCAACTATCTCATGTAATTCTTATAACTCTATGAGATAGGTATTATACATCCATTTAACTGGTAAAAAGTTTGAACACCCAGGGAGCTTAAACTTTACTCAATGTCATAAAACTGAGATAATATACTTTCCAGATTTTTTATTATGAGGAGTTTATTATAGAAAAAAAGAGAGTGGTATAATGAACCTCCATATACCTATCACATAGAGTTAATAATTGTTCATTTTTTGTCAACTTATATAACAGTGAAACAATAAAAGAACTAACATAACTATATTTTTGTTCAAGGGCTCTTTACCTATTTATTTATGGAAGCTAGGTTAATTTTAGAGCAGTGAGATAACATGCATAAAACAGCAGTCATGTAGTTTTAAAAACTAACCCTGGGATTAAAGGGAAAGTATGTACACAACTATGCATTGTTAAAGATTTATAGGAGTGTTGTGACCTGGAGAATAAATATAATCTTTAGGTAACTTCCGTTTGGAAAGAAATACAGGGGCTAGAACATAAGTTAAACAACAACACATAGAAGCAGCCCAGGAAATCGACATTCTGTAGAGACAATTTACTGTTCTCTTCAACAAATCAAAGCTTGGGCCCATTGGAACATCAGGGGACAAAGACACTCCCGACCTTCTTTGACCCGTGATGGTGCTCAGACATCTGCAGTCAACGGTCACCTCTTGATTGTAACTTCCTTCTCTTTCCTGTGCCTTTCAAATAAAGGGCCCGAATCTTGTACTCACTTAAGAGGGTACTTTGGGATGCTAGTTTACCATATTCTCAGTTAGCTGGCTTGCTCTCTGAAGAAACCTGCTTCTTGTCCCACAAACTATCATCTTTCATGTTTGGCTTTGAGGTGTGAGTTGCTGAATGTGGCTTTGGCTACCCTTACACCATCCTTTTATTTTACTAGATTATTTATGTTACAGCTAGAGACATCGTGACATTTAAACTCTAGTGGTCACTTCTTATCTTTAAAAATTAAGTACTTTTTCTTATATAATCACAATACTGGTTTTTTCACACTAAGATTCAACTGAGATACTCAGTTTCCTTTATATGTCTTATAAGGCTCTTTTATTCTAGAAAAAACATTGATTTGTTGAAGAGAACACAATAATTGTCTCTATAGAACTTTTGACCTTCTGGGTTACTTCCTCATGTTGTTGTTGAATTTATGTTCTAGCCCATGTATTTCTTGTGAAATGGAAGTTAACTAAAGGCTATGTTTACTCACATAACTGTTCCACTATGGAGCAAGAGTCCTGGCTTTCTAGTTTACTGTCAGTGAACGATTAAGGAAATTCATTTAGTCTTTCTGGGCCTCAGTTTCTTGTCTGTAAAAAGAAGCAATGATTCCAAACGAGATAGGGAATCTGGAAGTGCCAAAACAATGTTAAAACTTTTGAGACCGTCTGAGTTCAAATATCAGGTAGCCACTTACTAGCTGCATGACGTTGGAATTAGCTATTCTTCCTTCATTTTCCTCACCCTAAGATGGGAATGAACCTTGTTGTGAAGATTAGAAATACAACGTGGGCTAGGCACGATGGTTTATGCCCATAATCCCAGAACTCTGGGAGGCCAAGACTGGTGGATCATTTGAGGTCAGGAGTTTGAGACCAGTTTGGCCAACTTGGTGAAAAACTGTCTCTACTAAGGATATAAAAATTAGTGGAGCATGGTGGGTCCCTGCAATCCCAGCTACTTGGGAGGCTGAAGCAGGAGAATGGCTTGAACCTGGGAGACAGAGGTTGCAGTGAGCCAGGATCACACCACTGCAATCCAGCCTGATCAACAGAGCGAGACTCCAGTTCTCTCTTTCCATACATATATAACATACCAGTGTTTTAAATGTATGTGATAGGTTGCCCAGTAAATAATCTAGCAAAATAAAAAGGTGATGTAAATGTTATCAATATCAATACACTTACCACAGGGATACTCTTGAAATAGCAGAGAACCTAGGAAAACAAAAATAGAAAGTATATAATTGCAGAACTGGGCTATGTTGCAAGATCCTTAAATGCAGAAACTTGGTGCCCAACTATTAGGAAAATCTGGGGATTCACTGTGTCTGTTAATGATGTCTCATCTTAAAGTTTGAGAGAGGATCCTGGTGCTTTAGGGGTGATTAATATACACAGACTAAAAAAGGAACATCAAACGGGCAGAAGGAAATATGAATTTTGCATGTACTTGAGCAATCACGGTGGAAAGTGGCAAGAGGTTAAGAAAACACTCCAGTATCCTTCCTCTCCCTACATTGTTTTCAGAATCCAGGATGAGTCAGGCCACGTCAAAATATACAGCGCCATACTGATGTGTAATGGAGAGGCTTATTACCCAGCTTCCTTTCCCAGGAAAGGCATATTGATTAGGGCCCTGGAAAGGGAATGTGACCCTTACGGAGAGCCGATAAACAGCTACATGAGGGGCATCTCTCTGTGGTTGAGATAAGGATGTAAAAGTCTTTCTTCTCCCACTGCTCCAGGCCTGCATGGAGGCCCCTCCTTTTGTGGTTTTTGTGGTCAGGCTGGTTGTCCTGTGTCAGATCCTGTTCTGCCTGTAGCTGTGAGCCCAATATGTTTTTGCTGATAATCATGAGTTTATGTTTAACCTATATTCTTGCTACGTTGTATGATTTCTATGCTGACACACAGAAAGTTATCTTTACACCGTTCTGCTTTTACAATACCACATTGTGATTTTTGTGCACCAGTTTTTGCAAATGTATTCTTTCTGTATAATTATCACTGAAACTTTGCTTAACCTCGCTCTCCCACCCCTATTGAAGGAGCACAATAAAAAAACTGAGGTTTTCAAGGGAATGTCAGACATCCATGGAGCAGCATTATGTGGTGTCTCCCCTGGGCCCAGCTTTAAGGAAAACATTTTCCTTGTCTCTCTTTCTTTTTCACTGACCACTCTATCATTTTGAGAGATCTTAAACCCACATTGATGTATTGGGAGCTGGTCTCTCCAATAATTAGGGTCACAGCAAGGCAAGCCCATAGAGCCTTTCCCGTTCTCCCTTGCTAAGCTGAGCTTCTAACAAAAACAGCCTCCAGCCTTGTAAACAGGAACCTAGGTTCCAGGATGTGGTTGCACCGGGCTCTTGAACTCAGGATGTTGACCCAGTTAAGCAGAATGTCAGCCCCTGAGAACCAAGATGCAGTTTTTCTTAGAATAGCACCCAGCTACTTGCAAACTCTCTATATAACCCCCACAGTCTTTAAGCCAGGCTGCTGCCTTCACTGCCTGCAACTAACAAAATTTTGGTGCTGAAACCCAGGATGGGAGTAGGTGCTGGCCACTCTCCTTTCTTCCATGTCTAGCCCCCCCAGTCTGAACCTCTTTCTAGACCCAAGAATCTCAGACTCCCCCATTGCTGGCAACCTCATCCACCATCAGAGCCTCAGCTAGGGTAAGTAAGAGAGACTCTTGCCGTTTACCCTGAACCCTTGACTGTCTCTGCTTTCCCGAAAGACCCAGCGCCGGGCCAAGGGCTTCTTCCGGCTTCCAGGCCTCCGGTTACTCCTTTTCAGGGATGCCTGACATGTGGCTACCTCCTCTATTCCAGACAAAGCCCGCAGGACAGAGGATGCCCTCTCTCACCGTCCTTGTCATAGGCAGTCTCTTCTTCCTCTACCTCCCTCCTCCATTCGCTATTGGAGCCTCTTAGTCTACCTCTCCCAAAGGTGTCTCCTGTTAATCTTAATGCTCTCAGCCTCCTTTTGGAAGTCCATCCTAAGAGGCTTATCTTTTACTACAATACCGTTCGGCCTCAATACAAATTAAACAATGGCTCCCAACGTCCCCAGAATGGCACTTTTAATTTCAATATACTTAGAAACTTAAACAATGTTTGCCATCGCAATGGGAAATAGTCTAAAATTCCTTATGTTCAGGCTTTCTCTACTCTCCGCAGCCATCCTTCCCTCTGCCAGTCCTGTTTCCAAATCCTGATTGATTTGCAAATTCTCCTTGCCAGCCCCAAACCCAACTCACCCCATCACCCTCCCCATGGCCCCAGCCAACAACTCGTCTCCTACCACATTCCACAGCCCCAGCCAGTGACTCCTCTCCTGCCACACTCCACAGTCCCAGCTGACGAATCCTCTCCTGCCACACTCCACAGCCCCAGCCAGTGACTCCTCTCC